TCGCCGAAGCAAGTCAGTGGGCATCCGCATCCTCTCTAAGACGCATGTTCGCATCGTTGTTGGTTTCTGGTTCGTTTGGTAGACCTGAGGAGGTATGGACAAGATGTTGGCAATCTTTGTCGGATGACATTCTTTACCGACAGCGGCGACTCTTCAACAATGATGGTATTTCATTATATTAGTGATATTATATTCTAAATATGATGTGATATTAGATTTTTATATACAAATTTATATTTTTTCAATTGTTGTGATGCTAAATTATCTTTTTTGAATATTTAGGTTTGTTGCTTACAGAAGAGCAAATCCAGAATCTAGCCCTTGCAGAGATTGAGTACTTATTGCGACGGCGTGGAGCAAGTCTTAGTGATTATTCTACTATGCCCTTTCCGGATAGCGACAGTATGCAATCAAATTCAAATCGTCTGCTTTTGGATGAGTTGAACTACGATCGAAAGGCCCTTGCTGTTGAACATGCTGTGCTTCTTGAAAAAATGACTGACGAACAGAAAGGAGTCTACTCAACAATTATGTCGTCCGTGGATTCTGGTCAAGGCGGAGTTTTTTTTGTATATGGCTATGGTGGAACCGGGAAAACATATTTGTGGAGAACTTTATCTGCTGGCCTGAGATCGAAAGGTGGTATAGTGCTGTGTGTCGCATCGAGCGGAATAGCATCACTTTTGTTGCCTGGTGGACGAACTGCTCATTCTCGATTTGGCATACCATTGAATCCTCACCAGGACTCTTCCTGCAATATCAATCAGGGAAGCCCTCTCGCGGAATTGATAATACGTTCTTCTTTGATAATCTGGGATGAGGCTCCAATGATGCACAAGCATTGCTTTGAAGCTGTTCAGACATCGTTGCAAGATATTATGGGAGCAATTGATCCTTCTAACAAGGAAAAACCATTTGGAGGCAAATCAGTTGTTTTTGGTGGAGATTTCCGGCAAATTCTTCCTGTAATTCCAAAGGGTAGCCGTCAGGACATAGTGAATGCTGCGATTAATGCTTCTGACATCTGGAGGAGTTGTACTGTGCTCAGGCTTACAAAAAATATGCGTCTTCAGAGCCTTCAAGATTCCGAGGAACGTGAAGAGGTTGCTCGGTTTGCTGAATGGATTGCGAGCATTGGTGATGGAACCATAGGAGGGTCAAACGATGGTTGTGCAATGATTGACGTACCTGAGGATATATTGCTTCAGCCATCTGATGATCCGATTGCTCAAATTGTAGAAAGCACGTACCCAATGTTTAAGCACACAACCAATGATCCCAGTTATTTGAAGGACAGAGCAATATTAGCACCGACGCTTGATGTTGTTGAGTCTGTCAATGAATACATGACATCCTTGAATTTATCAGAAGGTAATACGTACTTGAGCTCCGATAGTACTTGCAAGTCGGACTCTAATAGTGATTTTCTTTCTGAAATCCACACGCCCGAGTTCTTAAATAGCATCAAATGTTCGGGAATTCCAAATCATCAGTTGCATTTGAAGATCGGAACCCCTGTCATGTTGTTGCGGAATATGGATCATTCTATGGGTTTATGTAATGGGACGCGGTTGGTTGTGACAAGACTATCCGCTCATGTTCTTGAGTGTAAGATACTCTCTGGGGATCACGAAGGAGAGAAGGTGTTGATTCCTAGAATGGCGATAACTCCTTCCGATGTTAGAATTCCTTTCAAGTTTCAGAGACGACAATTTCCTATTATGGTATCGTATGCCATGACTATCAACAAGAGCCAGGGACAATCGTTATCGCATGTTGGTTTATTTCTTAAGAAGTCGGTGTTCAGTCATGGGCAATTATACGTTGCTGCCTCCCGTGTCACCACTCGAAGTGGGTTGAAGATATTAGTCTGTAATGACGATGACGTGTCGCCCAATAAGACCCAAAACGTTGTGTACAAAGAAGTGTTTACTAATTTATGAAGTTTTTAATTTGTTTTTCTCTATTTTACATTTGTTACATATCTACAAAGTGCATTAAATTTAATGTTAATATTTAAAAATTTCAAAAAAATATACCAGCCGTGCATCGCACGGGTCAGTACTAGTTGTTACCAAACATATAAAATACACAATGCAGTATTTTAGCACAAGGGATTCAAGAGCACAAAAGATTAGGAGGAAGTAGAGGAAAATCATATATTTCTTTATTAAGAATAGTTGCTTTTTTTTAAAGAAAATAAACAAACACAAAATCTAGATTTATTTTTGCTTTGACATACATTTCCTATCCCTTTTTTATTTTTCTTTTCTTATTAAAATTGGTTATAGAATATGGCATCTCATATCTCTTTTTTCCCTTATCAATTTGGTTAAACTCCAAATTTACTAAAGCATCGTGAAACAACATCTCGATCTTGAGACCTATGTTCTAAAAATTGGCTTAGGCGGTGCCCGACCATCTCCGATTTGCACAAATCGGCCGAAAAAATGGCCAGGCGGCGCCTAGTCGGGCCTTGGCGGCCCTAGGCTCGACGGCCAGGTAGTTAGGCGGCGCATAGGCGCTTCTAGGCGGACTTGGCGGTAATTTTTTATTTTCTTAATACTAATCACATTATTTTGTTCTCATGTTTTCTTTAAAATATATTAATATTTTTATTTGAATTTAGGTTTGTGGATTTATTATAAGTTGAGATAGTTTTATTTTGTAGGTAGTTAAAATAAATAAAAATTAAGATATTTAATATTGATTTCTAGGCCCCGACTAGACGGCGGCGCTAGGCGCTAGTCGAGCATCTTTCCTAATATGGAGGTCTCCAACTTTTTCAGAAGTGCTTCTGACCAAAATGTGCTACTTCTAGATGCAGATAATGAAATGGTTTTCAACATGACGAGGTTTCAGTTTGATAGTGGGTGGCTCAAGGTGGAGGGAGTGGCTCAAGCTGTGGAAAGTGGATGGCCAATGCTTACTGAAGGGACACCCATGTTCCAGGTTCACCAAAAGTTTAAGAATACTAGAATGGCCTTGTTAGCTTGGAGTAAACAAACTAAGAGGAATTGTAAGGAAGCATTCCAGTCACTTACAACAAAGCTAAAACAACTGAGACGTGAAGGGGGAGAAAGAAACTGGGAGGAGTGGAAGGTAATGAAGAATGATTTGGACAGTGCTTATAAAGAGGAAGAAAGGTTTTGGAGATTAAAATCTCGAGCTCTATGGCTTAAAGAAGGTGATAAAAATACTCGGTTCTTTTATGCCTTTGTTACTCAGAGGAGAAGAAGAAACAATATTTAAAGACTGCTTGCAGAGAATGGAGAAGTGTGTGAGAGTAAGAATGGCATAGTTACTCATATTACAGAGTTTTACTCTTCTCTTTTCACCACAGAGTGTTCTCAGGGGGGAGGGAGGAGATCCTTCAGTACATACCATTCCATATCAGATGAATTGAACAACTCTCTTATCAAACCTGTTGAGGAGGAAGAGGTTAGAGATGTTGTTTTCAGTTTGGCTCCTAAGAAATCTCTTGGAGAGGATGGTATGTCTGCTATTTTTTTTTTTTTTCAACATTTCTGGCATATTATAACGGTGGATGTGTTTAGAGCTATTAAAAGTTTCTTCTTGTCTGGCCAATTGTTGAAGAACTGGAACCACACTATTGTCACTCGGATTCTTAAATGTTTGTATCCTAAAACCCTCAGTAATTACAGACCAATTAGCTTGTGTGGTGTCCTGTACAAAGTGATTGCCAAAATATTGGCCAACAGATTGAAATCATGCGTTGATGTGTGTATTAATCGAGTGCAGAATGCATCTGTCCCAGGCAGACAGTTACTGGAAATGTGGTCATTGCACATGAAATTTTTTATTTCTTGAATAGACACATGTCTGGACCTAACATGTTTTTAGCCTTGAAGTTAGAAATGGAAAAGGTTTATGACAGGGTTGAAGAATTTTTATCATTGTCTTTTGATAATGTTTATGGCTCGAAAAAAATATCTCTTAATTATATTATTCTAATTCTAATACTACAATATGATGCAGAAAATAAAAAATCAATAAGTTCAACAATAATCACATAAATATGTCGTGACCTAGTTGATTATGAGTGTCATTCCATCTGAGATAAGTAACTCATGTTTCAGTTTGTTCTCATTTAATAAATGAGTATAAGACTCAACTCGAGTTTGACATGTTGAAGCTCGCGAAAGCTTAGATCGACTTGACTCATTTAATAAATCTAAAATTCTAAACGAGTTGTTTGTGAAAACAAAATAATTTCGCAAACAAGTTTGACACGATTGTGTATTTTATGAAAAATACATGCTTAAAAAATAAATAGTTTGTGAACAAACTCACTTTGGTTCGTTTAATAAACAAGCTCAATTAGTAGTATAAACTTGATTCATTTAAAAAAAAAAAAAATGAGCCGATCATGAGCATCCATGAGAACATAGTTATTTTTGCGAATAACTCGGTTCGAATAACAATTTTATGGTCGATTCATGATTATTTAGAAGATTATTTATTCATATTTTATCTACACAACTGTAATGTTGCATTTGTTTTTTATTTCTTTTTGTTGAATAGCTGGTGTTTACTATTAGAACTCATTTCAGTTTAGTATTATTTAACAAAAAAAACTAGCTTGATTTTATTGATATTAATTATGATACAAGGTTGATGATCATTACATGTAAACGTAATAATGATACTATAAATATATAAAAGTCTCAATAAATTTTAAAAAGTATGATGAAAGTTAAGGATTATAATAAGAATTGAGAAATGCTACGGTACCGTTACGGTACCATCTCGTCGGGAGTTTTTAACTGTTGGAATCCAACAGTAAAACACCCGATACGATAGTACCGTATCGAGACCATAACATTTCCCATAAGAGTTATATAAATTATTTTTAAAAAGTCCACCAAAGTTATTACCACAAAATCTACTAAAGTCACCCACTTTTGTTACATTCAATTAATACACCCGGTAAAAAAATAAGTAGACATATAGGTCATTTACCCTAAAACCCTACCCTTGTCTAATTCCTCCGCCCTATCGAACACGAACAGGGAAAACCATTTTGAAGCCTCCTGTTATTTTTTTGTATGATATTTTGGCTTAAATAAATACTCTCAAAGCCTCCTCTTCTCCGATTCATTTCAAGCAGCCGAGAGCTCATCTGCCGCAAGAGAGTAAGTAGTCAGCTTCATGTTCTTTTTGCTCTCATTCTCTCAGTGTTTCTTTATATTTTTTGGTTCCTGCTCCTATTAGAAAAAACGAAAATGAAGAGAAAGAAATTAATGAGTAACTCTGGAAACAGGGTTTNACTTTGGGATTTTATTGTTGAATAATGATATTTACTGGACTTATCGATGACCATGCGGCCCTTGCTTTGTGTTTGGCCTAGTGTTTCGCACATTTGTATTAGGAATTAATTGTTTCTGGAATTTAATGCCCTAGTTTTTGCGTGTTCTTATGTTGTTTAGCTAGGTGATTCTTTAATGAACTTATTTTTGTTGAATTGTAATTACATCTGAACGGTTGATTTGTTAACAGTCAGCGTGTATCAGGCAGTTCATAGTTGATTCAGAGTATTGGCAGCATTCTTGGTGAACTTGTAATATTTATTCTCTTCTTATGTATATAAAGTGAGATAATTTTTGGAGATCACATTTTATGCAGTTCAATGGCTGGTTTTCTACTCAATAAGAAAAAGAAAAGTGCTAAGTTGTTAGATCCTCCTCCAAGGAAGAAGCAAAAAGCAGAAGTTACTTTACAGAAAGAAGCAGAGAAAGAAGACTTGCTCAGTAGTGATTCAGATGGCAGTTGTGAACCCGAAGAACTTGAAGAATCTGATGTGGAAGAACAAGATAACACTGAATCTCTTTCAGAAATGTCATCTGATGATGACGATCCTTTTGCCCATGATATACTCCTTGGAAGTGAGGATGAAGATGATAAAGGTACTTCCTTTTCCAGTGGCGTTTTGTAATGTTAATTAGCTTATAGGGTCGTTCTCGGTATTACTTTACATCTATTATAATGTTTACTTACTCATTTCTTCGAGTAGAGGAGGATGCAGGTGAGGATGCTAGTGAGGATGCAGATTCAGATTCTGACGAGTCTGATATCGAAAGGAGAGCAAGAGCCATTGATGAGGAAAGGGTGCAGGAACAAGCAGATGGAGAAGCTGAGTTACAGCTTAACATTAGAGAAGAAGCTGATGAGTTCACTTTACCAACTCCGGAGGTTTGGATTATTGTGTTTCTCTATTCTCTTGAAAAGAAACTTTCAATGTTTATTAGTTTTTTATTATTTTATTTCTTGATAATGCAGGAGCTTGAAGAAGAGGCAAATAGGCCCCCTGATCTTTCCAACCTTCAGAGAAGGATCAAAGAGAGTACGTTTGGTTTAATACATTTTTTTGTTAGTTTGAATTATCTTTGATTTATGTCGAGGTTTGGGTTATTACTTCAGTCGTGCGTGTTCTTTCGAACTTTAATGCTTTGAGACAAGAGGGAGCGGCACGCAAGGACTATATCGATCAGCTTAAAAGGGATTTAGGTTCATACTATGGATACAATGAGTTTCTGATTGAAGCTTTAATTGAGGTTGTTTTACTTGCTCTGGATATTGCACCACTTTCATGATCTTTATTTGAAGGTGCATTTAGTTATTGATTTATTTTATTTTATTTTTTATCCATCTTTGCTCAGATGTTTCCAGTTGTTGAACTTATGGAACTTATTGAAGCTTTTGAGAAGCCAAGGCCTATATGTCTTCGCACAAACACTTTGAAGGTATGTATGTATTCTCTTTAAAGAAAACCTTTCGCCGTGAGCTTTAGTAAAAGATCTGTTACGGAACAAGTTGTATGGTGTTGATATTTCTCTAATGATATTTAGACTCGTCGGAGAGATTTGGCTGGTATTCTATTGAACAGAGGTGTCAATCTTGATCCACTGAGCAAATGGTCAAAAGTAAGATTTTCCACATGTCTATGAGAATTTATCATAATTTATAATGTGTACATCACATTTATTTTCCTTTTGTGTTCATGGCACTCTTGTGTTTTCTCATAGGTTGGTTTGGTTGTATATGATTCACAAGTTCCAATTGGGGCCACTCCAGAGTATATGGCTGGTCACTACATGGTACATTCTGATTGTAGGTTTCCTACAGTTTAGTTTATGTTTACCACATAATGATTATGGGTTTATTTGTTACAGCTTCAAGGTGCAAGCTCCTTTTTGCCTGTGATGGCCCTTGCTCCTCAAGAAAAAGAAAAAATTGTTGACATGGCGTGAGTGTTTCTTATTTTTTTCGTAACTGTTTTGATTTTTGTAACCTCTTTGTTTGCATATCTGTTCTGTTTCTACTGATGGTATGATTGTTCCATCTCATGTGATAAACTTTTTTCAGTTTGCAGCTCTAATTTTCTTCCTGTCCTCCATTTTTCTGCTGCATGTTCTTTAAGCCCTTTCACTCTTGCCTTTGTTTGTGCGATGAGTTTTCATTGTCATAAATTCTGGTTACCTGAACCTGGACTTCATTGATGGTGCTATAAAAGAGTTTCACTCATTTCCAAATCAGTTATCTGTTATCTTGTGATTATGATGTATACATGATGGAACTCTGGTGTTTACAACTTTACCTTGTAGTTCTCGACTTCTTGCCCTTCTGATTCAGTGTGTTTGTAGGGCTGCTCCTGGTGGGAAAACTACCTATATTGCTGCTCTTATGAAAAATACTGGTGAGGAACTCATTGGAATCAAATAATGAGGGATACTTCTTTTTACTAAATAAATTTAGAACTTTATTCCTGTGCTTCAAAATTGAATTGCAAAAGGTCTTAATTTATATCATTTTTTTCACACGTCTTGAGTGGGAAAACCTTTTTGATTAAGCTATATCTACGAAATATATTTGGAAGCATATGTTTAGAAGAAATATACTTCTTATTTTGCTGAAGTGCACATGATATAAAAAATGAGTAGTCATGAAACTTTTTCATTGTTTATTGTATATTTCATACCCGCCAGACCAATTTTTGCTCTTATTACTTTCATAATTTAATAATTAATTGCATGCCTCTTATCAAAAATGAAAAGGAAAGATAAAAAAAATAAAATAAATGAAATGAAATAAGGAAGGTGTGTACCTGACTCTTTGGTGTAATGGTCATCATTCGATGTGCCTGTTTCTTCTTTTTCTTTTTTTTAATGGTTTTGCAAAACAACTGACACGATGTAAAAATCTCCTCGTAAAGGTATCATTTATGCAAATGAAATGAAGGAGTCGAGGCTCAAGTCACTCACCGCCAACATTCACCGGATGGGCGTAACGAACACCATAGTTTGTAACTATGATGGGAGAGAGGTGATAATCTTGCTCTATATTTCCTGATTCATTGCATATGATGATTTATTTCTTTTGTATGTATAAAGATCTTTATCCGACTGGCTCAATATAATGTTTATTTCTTCTGCTTAATTGCAGCTGCCAAAAATTTTGGGGAACAACTCAGTTGATAGGGTTTTACTGGATGCCCCTTGCAGTGGCACTGGAGTATGCAATCTAGCTTCATCACAAAGTGCATGTTTTAAGATTCTTTTTCATCACCATGGGAAGTAGAGTAATGTAGTTTTCCTTTAATTTTGCAGGTTATATCTAAGGATGAGTCCGTGAAAACCTCAAAAAGTGAACTAGAGATACAAAACTGTGCCCACCTCCAAAAGGTATATTCTTTGTGTTTTAAATTATGGGGATTTTGCACCCACCGCTTACTTGGAAATGAAAACTTTCTTCAGTGCCTAAGGCAATGTAGAGTTATCGGCAATTAACTATTATGTTCTGTGGGCAGCAATTAATACTTGCAGCTATAGATAGTGTGGACGCAAACTCAAAATCAGGTGGATACATTGTTTACTCTACATGCTCTATAATGGTTGCTGAGGTCCGTAATTTCTTGTACATCAATTGAATCTTATAGCCATAAAGCCTTCCTGTTTTNCTACCAGATTTATTCGATTCAGGGGGCATCGTTTTCATACATCCCTAGATAAGACAAGGCGCTTTTATCCCCATGTCCACAACATGGATGGGTTTTTCGTCGCTAAGGTGTGTTTCACCTCCAATTTCACTGTTCCTTTTGAATCAATTTAAACCGAGTTTGCCAGTTATTCCATGCATCTTATTTGGGCCTGTGACGTGGATGTTTCTATGCCCCGATTCAAATAAAATTCGATTAGAACTACAGCTTATATTTTTCTGACTCTTGTATCTAGTTTATTTTTTCGTGAATAAACAAGTTGTAGTTCAAAATTATGAACATCCACTGAAGTGTTACAAACACCTAATGATAGTAACTCGGTGCATTTTATAATTTGTCTCAAGAATATTGTGTTCCTGTCTTGACTTTTATGAATGTACCATTTGCGTATGCAGCTGAAGAAAATAAGTAATCGGAAGCCATCTGCGCAGCAGCCTGAAAATATGGGTGAAGTTGAATTTGAAGAAAAAAATGAACAGAACCGTGTTGAAGAAGATAGTGAAATACGTCAGAAGAGAAAAAACGCTGAAGCAAAAGAGAACAAGAAAAGCAGCAATGGGCAAAGAGAACAAAATAAGGCACCCGAGAATAAGAAACGAGAGAAAAAGAAACCACCATCCAGAGAGGAAATTGCAAAAATCAGGTAGATTGCTGTAGTTTCCAGACATCATTGTTTATAATAAAGACTTTTAATGTTCTTCCAGAAAGAATTATATGTACATGGACCAATAGGCCTTTTTCCTTACATTTCGATTAGTTCTTACGGTACCACATATATACATACTAATTTTTACTTTCCTTCTGTTGTTGATTTGCAGAGAAGATAAGAGGGAAGCTTTGAGGGAAGCAAAGAGGAAAGCTAAGGCAGAAGGCAGAAAAGAAGTGAAGAAAATATCACAGGCATTATATGGTTAAACCGTGTGCAATTTATAGATTAGATTTAGCTGTTGGAGATCTAGAGCATGTCTTACAATTTTATGATACTCTTCCTACAAACTTTTGTCCAAGTTTGCAAATACTGGCCTATTGTGTGCCACAAAAATTTTGTATTACCAGATATTTAAAAAAGTACTATTATTATTACATAGTGTAAAAGTAAATTGGCGCTCCCATACAAACACACAATACTAATATTCCACATATTGGCAAGTTATATAGTTAGTGTAAAAGTAAATGGACGCTCCCATACAAACGTACAATACTAATATTCCACATGTTGGCAAGTTCTACAGCTAACATACAATACTGCTCTGTCAAATTACCAAGCTCTGTAAGCAAATTAACATTCCCTTGCAAAATCTAGCAACCAATGTACAATGACTGACACTCAAGTTCATAAGATAAAACCTATGTAATGACCAAAACTTGAATTAACTTGTCAAAATTATTAATAAAAATTATCCATAATCCTAACACACAGTAGTATTCAACAATTCACTGCATCTGTGCTGGTACAAGAGACACACAGTTGGAGCTAGTTTCTCTGCACGGAGCGCCTTTGCCTCTTGTACTTCTTCTGCACATCATCCCTTACTCCCCCCACCACACTACTCCAAACCCCTCCCTCAACAACATGCTCTGAAGACACTGATCTGCCACAGTCATCATCATTTGCAGCAATCGGCCCATTTGCGACCAAATCAGTGGACCCCACCTCATCCACAGCCCCCTCCTTCCTCTTCCCTCCATTCCCTTCATCCTCTTTGGTGTTGCTGCCTTCTAACTTGTCGACAGCTGCCGATGGGGAGGGCTCTCGGCTTCCAGTGATGGTGTCCAGCTCTATCATTTCCGACTGCAGATTGTCCTCTTGCTCGACTGCCGCAAATGGATGGTGGCATGCAGCATTCTGTTCGCCGTTGTTGAGCTGAGTAGACTCTGTAGGCGAGGGCTGCTCGGGGGTGGAGGCAAAGTAAGCTCCTTGTCCGACTGTATGGGCTCCGCTCATCCCGCCTCTCCTCCTGGGCTTGCAGTGCTTCGTCTTAGGCCCAACTGCTGCCCCTGCCCCTGCCCCTGCCCCCTCCTCCTGCTTCAGTGTTGAGGTTTCAACAGCGTTGGTTCTCAACGTGAACGAGCAGATGTCCCGGATCTTCCCCAGGGCATGAAGAAATGGGTCTTTAGTGTCTGCCAAAGATGAAATGACAATCAGAATCTAAAGCATCGACTGTTAAAGACAGAGTATATTTTTCCTCCCTAAAATTATTTTGGCTAAATTGCATTTTTATTCCTGCTGATTTAACGTCATAGCAACTTTAGTCCCAAGATTCTAACATTTCGCCTTTTAGTCCTGTAATTCAATATTTTGCAGCAATTCCAGTCCTCAAATGACTAAAATTGCAACAAATTCCCAATTTATGTTTTTGGGATGAATTTTTTATTAGCAATTTAAGTCATGTAATTTAAAATTTAATTTCAATTCCAGTCCTGTAATTTGAAATTTTGTTGCAATTGCAGTCCTCAGAGGATTGAAATTGCAGCAAAATATTAAATCACAGGACCAAAAGGCAAAAAATTGGAATATTGGGACTAAAATTACTATAACGTAAACCAACAGGACTTAAAATGCATTTTTACCAATTATTTTTCGTGTTACCAAGCAGTTTCAAATTATTTTCCATCTATTGAAAAGATAAAAATTGAACCTGAAGCTTCAGGATCCAACTGCATGGCGTTTGAATCTGGAGTATCGTGGAACTCAGATATGCAGAGGGAGGAATCCCACGTCTGAGGTGTATCTACTCCAGTGTCGGGCACAGTAATTGACGGCATAGGAGAGTGCATCACGCCCAATGACGGTGTGGACACTGTAACAGGAATATATGAAGCCCTCTTTCGGTTCTCGAGAGCTGCTCCACCTAAAAACCCACCTCTCTTCCTTTGTCTGCCTCGCTGAGCCTTGGGCGGGATGGACAGTGATGTAGCTGGAGATGACGGGCCCAAGTCTGGAAGGGCGGAGAGAAGGCGGTGGCCCTCGTGAGCAGTTCTCAGAGAATATGTGCACACATCGAGGATATCCCTAAGGACTTCTTCCCCTGAGATCTCGCAGCCTTGATTTAGCGCATCCGATACCAGGTGGTATATTTTCTGTAAGCTCTGGGCCTGAACAACATTCCATATATATTTGGTTTATGAAGGGGTGGGGGGCAAAGAATGGGAGGAATTGCCTGATTGTTTTATTTAACAGTACGATTAATTACCAAGTGTTATTCGTTAATCCTAATACTAAGTTTGTTTCTTTAATATTTTGGCAATACGAAACAAAATTGCTTACACTAACTGACCAACCCAACAGCTATCCAACTCTGGTCCGCCTTCATTTCGAGTCAATGGCTATCTAACATTTGACGCCATCATGGTAGATTTTATAATACACCCCGCAACTTCTCAAAGTATTACAAGGCCAGAGATTTTCATTTAGCTATTTGTAATATTCAGACAAACTGAGAAGCATGAATGTCAATGGGCAGTGGAAAGTTTTGGCTATACTGACAAACAGGGGTTGACGGGTGCGGTCCCACGGACGAAGCGCACCAAATCAGGGAAGCCCAAATGAATAAGTTCCAACAAAATTATCACCCAACAACATCACTTGCAAAACTGAAGATGAACACAACCTAAAGGGTGGTTTTTGTAATGTACAGAGTCATCCGCAGGTTGACCAGAACTAAGGTAGATTTTCATAAAAATTTAACGAGTAATTAGGAGACTCCCTGCAAAAGTGTACCATTTTCAATAGAATCATCAGGTACTCGCATTGCTATATCCACGAATTAATCATGCAAAAAGCCTCAAGTAGTCAGTCAAGTGAAATCATTTTTTTACAGCTACGAAAATGAATTAATATCATTTTTTTTTTTTTTTTTTACCATGGCCTCCTTTGCGCCTCCACCTCCCTGGTAGCCGTTGCTCGGACGAGCAGCAGGGTTACCGATCAACAAGCGGGTAATCCTCCTGTACCACATCATGTAAGGATCACTTTGATCCATGGGGCACTCGATTTTAGGGGCTGTCACAACTCTGGCCTCACGTCTGGCCCACATGTCCACAAACTGCCGGTGGTGCTGCACCCAGTCATAGTTCTGCCGCCCACGGCGGTCAGTGAAATGGATGTCCGGAATGGTATCACAGGCGGCAGGGATCGGCTGCTGCTGACCAAACTGGCGTAGGGCACGGTCAGGGTGGTGGAATTCCACCACATCGAAGCATATCAGTGGGGCCACCGTCTGCCAGATCCTCCTTCCTGACAGACAGTATTCGGGCAGGATGCCCAACACATCTAAAGAATATGGTTCCCATATGAACTACAAAAAACACAACGTAAATTTCACATGCTGGAGGATATGAAATTTGGTCAAAACTTAAAAAATAATATCATCATTTTCTGTTTTTAATTACACTGAAATCAAGGGTATTTTTGTTAATTAAATGAAGGAATACATGGAAGAACCTGGTCATCCTTCATGTTGTCCAGTAAGTCCCTGTACAGGACTAGAACATGTGTCCCCACGCTCTCCAGCTTGAAGCCAATATTCCACCTACGGCCAACAAATTCTTCTGGATGAGGAACAAGTTAACTTATCATCACTTACGTGAATTATATGCATATCCACATGTATACCTGGAACCATAGGGGGGAGCAGGCAAAGGAGGCTCCCCAGCAATTGCATCAGGCTGCTGCTGCTGCTGCTGCTGCTGTCGGGGCGTTAATCTCCCAGGTCGAATGAAAGGCAGTCTCTCCCATGCCCAAATCTAGTCATAATTGTAATCAGACAAATAAGTCTCAATATTTTCATCTATTTCTATGGCAATTTTATTTCCACATCTTATAAAGGTTAGATATTTTTGTCAAAATTATCAGTGTAGATCCTTCATGGTCTCCGCCTACAAGGATTAAACGAATTTTAATCCTGCAACTTCGTTAGCCATTTAGGTAATTTGGCGGTCATTTCTTGAATAAATGAACCATTGAAACAGCCAATCACCAACACCAAAATCACACAAACCAAAAATTTCACAAAACATAAAGCATGCACAACTAAAACTTCAACGGAGCCAAAAATCGCCATCATACACACTTCGCGGACCAGGAAAATCGCAGTCAAGCATATCTTCATTTCACACAATCCAGAATACCTGTAGAAGCACGAGAGGCCCACATATATCAGACGTCTCGGGTTTAGTCGCCCGGCACAGAGCTCGGTACAGGCAAGCAAGAACGGCACTCCCCCAGCTCAACCTCCCGGCCGCCTCCAAATCCCGAAGCAGAGGCAAGTACATCAGCTTGACCTTATTATTAGACATGTCCGACAACAACTGCCCCCCGAGCAGCTGCAAGATGTACGCCCTCGCATAATACTCCACCGTCTGGTCCGAGGCATCATCTGGGAGCATCTTGAACCTCTCCTGCAGACACCTAATCTTAAGCCGACCGCGGTCAAAGTCTTCTGGGGGTGGCCTGAAACCGAGCAGCTCGCCGCAAATGTCCTGCCACTCGTCCATTGAGCGGTTAGTGTCGACTCCCGTGATCGGGTCCCCGTCCACTGGTAGGCCCCAAAGGACAGAAATGTCCTGCAGGGTGACGGTGGCCTCGCCAGCTGGCAGGTGGAAGGTGTGGGTCTCGGGTCTCCAGCGCTCGACTAGAGCAGTGATCAGGGCATGATCGAGTCGGATGCGGCCGGCCTTGTAGACTCCGTAGAAGCCCGACTTTAGCATCATCTGCTGGACGCGTGGGGCCACAGCATCCAGACGCCAGAAATGGCCATCACATCTTCTGCAGGTCAGGGGCTCGAAATCGTGCCCGTTCCATATGTCAGTTGACCGGTGGTGGTTTTGGAGGGTGAGCACGGAGTTGTCAATGGGGCCCGGGTGCAGGGTGTAGCTCGTTCCAGCATCCATTTAGGCTGGATAAAGTGTGAAAAATAGAAAAATGAATTATATGTAAATATGGATGACTGAATTGAGGATGGTAATCTGAAAGTTCCTTTGACAAGTCAACAACACCTGCATATATTTTTCGGAGAAGTAGAAACAAGGATATAGTGATATACATGAATGTGTGGCAAAAGAACCAAATGACTTGTAATCCTCTTTCTATGAATCAGTTGTTCAAGAATTGATGGAGGAAACTTAGGTTCTTTTTTCATCCTTATTATAAACTTCTCTAGTATGTTTTATAACCATCTTCAATGCAAGTGAGTGTATCAACTTAACACTGAGAGTAATAATAGAAGATGATGATATTCATCTTCAACGAGTATATATCAGCTTAATGCTGAGAGTTGAGAATACAACATGAGAAAGGGGCAGCTTAAAAGATCATCAAAGTAGAGTTCAATTTAATAACCAAGAGGTAAATGTCTGGGTGGAATAGTTACAGCATGTGGATTTCCATTTTCCACACTAGGTAAAGTAATGTTAACAGCTCAAGAAATTGGCAACGCAAACAACACCAAGGGATCAACATAAACAAAATACACACCACTAATTAAGGGATTTTTGTGATTAATCAAAAGAATACAAATTGACTTGCATGCGTGAGATGAATCAGCTCCCTAATGATATTCATAGCTTCCAGTTGCTAGCCACATTGAAAAAAAAATTCAATAAATAGATACAATTAGAAACCATTTCATCACACTTTTTAGATTCTACAAAAACAATTTTGACGAAACAGAAGGCTCAATAAATGGGAAATGAGCTCAAATTCACCAAGCAAAAAGATGAATTCACTAGAATGGACCTCACCCAAATTCGTAAGCGATTTTGGCTTGATGAGAAGGAAATGCGACGATTTTGCCGTCGAGCGCCGAATGTTTGAAGCGTCGGAGAAAAATGGAGGGAATAAAGATGGGCCGAGCGAGTTTGCCAACGGCTCTTCAAATCTGTGAAGCTGTGAGAGAAATCTCCATTAGAAACGCTGTCACGACATCGTTTTCTCGCGTATCAGCGCGTTTGGGCAAAAAGGATAAAGTGCTAGGGTTTTAACTTCTTGGGTTGGGGCAATCATAGACGAAGAGACCTAAAAGCGTCCCTTCCCTTGTTTTCTCATTGTGGTCCTAAACTTTATTCACCCCGGTAATAATATATTAGTAATTTATTGTAATTTTTTTTTAGAACGATATATTTTATAAATAATACACATTATTACAGATAAGAAACCAACTAAATAGCCGAATAAATCAGTTATGCAGTCGAATCAAGTTGAGAAGAATACACAAATTGTAGCCGGGAACTAACAAAATGTTTCCAAAAGAAGAATACAAAAACTTACACAGGGGAGAATACAAGAAATGCATTCTCAAACGGGAGAGAAAAAAAAAACACAGAAAACACATGAAAAAACTAATACTCGACTAAACTAAAGCCCTCCCAAACAGAAACAATCGCTCCTAAGAGCCCCAAGCGCACCGACACCAAAGTCAACCACTCGAGCAGGCCAAGCTCCCAGCCCAAACACGGAATTAGAAACTCTCCTATCGGGCTAACTAGCACCTGACCGAAAGACTCGAAAACTACCCAATCGGCCACCACTGGAACGGAACCAGTAGACCAGCACCGAGGATTTCCCCTGCACAACTAGCGTTTGCGGCTGCCCGATCGAAGTCGCAGCCACCCCGCTGGGATCCCTGTTGGCCCAACTCTAAGGCACAAACAGAACCAGGAAAATCCCACCACGTCAGTCGATAGTCGAGATTCGCCACCACAAGAGGCCCAACAAGACGGCGGACCCTCCTCCGCCATGGCTCCTGTTGTATTTGTTTTGTTATTTTCTTGTGTTTTCAAGATCCATAATTCATTAATCCTTTACCCTTTTTCTTCACTAGTAAAATGCTCGTGTAAGTCATCTAGAGGGTTGGCTCGTTAGACTGGGACTTAAGTTTAGTAAAATAAATTAATTAGTTTATTAAACATATCATTACAAAAACGAGATATATTGTAGAACAAATGAGCTCCCAATGTTTTCTTTTTTCAAAACTGACATAATAATGTCTTAATATAAAAAGAATGAAATAACGTATTCCACTCCAACAAAAATGTATGAAAAATGAGTCACCAATGGAAAACAAAAACATACTAAAACAAAATAAGGACATAATGTATATTATGGATACATTAATTCTTTTATTTATTTATGTTAGGTGATTCAAGAGTTATTTTCTTTCATTTTGGTTTTGACATTTTCATAAAAAACACCCCGGAAGGGTAGGGTGTTAAGGTCGGATCCCCAACATGTATATAAACATGGTCCTAAATGGGCTGAAGTCATGAGTCTACACGTCCAAACGTCCAAAATAAACAAAACAAACGAACGAAAACAACCAATTAAAAAAAACAACAACAACTAAAAAACGAAAAGATTTGAGCCTAGTCAGAATGGAGCCCAGGCGAATAATACGCACCACGAGTGAGCTAAAGCACTAAAAATAAAAAGGACTATCCAAATCTGAACGGTGGATAGACCATCTGATCCATCCGTATAAGAGTACGGAGTCAGAGAGGGGCGTCGTCCGAATAAAGAATACGCCTATGGGGAGTGGAGGCCCCGATGCAAGCAAGGAAGTCAGAGGGTCGGTTTCCCTCGCAGAAGATGTACGAGATCCAGTAGCGAACCGACCGAAGTGTGGCTCTGATGCACATGAGCGGATGCTGAATTTGGCAGGAGCCTTAATGGCCAAAGGTCAAGAGGGTGGTGACAGCGGCAACGTCCAACTTTATCTAAATGTGAGAGGAGATAGAGGTATCCATCTGAAGCGCCTGAACCTCCGCGTCGCAGCTCGAGGAGGCCTGAAGAGGGGCACGGGAGGCGGTAATGAGAGCTCCGCTATGGTCCGTAATCAAGCCCCCACCTCCACGCGGCTCCGGTAAGTTGGTCAATTGATCCGTCTGTGTTTAGCTTAACCCAAGGGGGCTCGGGTCTCAACTAAACAGCGGCTCTGGGGCGTGGGTGCTGGACAGGTGGCAACAGAGGTGGTGCGATGCGGTGGGCGGCGTGCAGCCTGTCCAGCCTCTAAGTGTGAGTCTGCCCAAAGCTGTGAAGAGAGAGAGATGGCGATCTACCTGCAAAATAATGTGAGAGCACAAAAATGTAATATCTCTATGCTTCGCACTATTCCTTTCTGTCTAGATAGACCAAATGATCAGAAAATGAATGAGGAAGCCCTCGTGTCTAATGTGTGTGCTTTGTGAGAAAAAACTCAGGAGCTCAAAGAAATTATCCATAGTGAGAATGTATATATGAGTATAAGTAGCGAAATGCTCCCACACTCTCATCGCAACCTCGCTCTCTAAAAATAAATGTGAAAGAGTCTCAATCTGGAAACTAAGACGAAGGTCATTTGTAAGCTTTACCTACTACAACCAACACACAGAACATATAAAATGAAGTGAATCAAGTCAAATCAAACTGCAAACTGAGCCCTAATTGCAATTTTGGGTTTCTCTCTCCTCAACTAAACACATACTTGTGCTTGACGCAAAAGAAAAAAAAAATGCTTTTGAACTTTTCTAAATTGGCCTAAAGTCCAAATTTGTCAAAAATTAACTTTTCTGCCAAAATTGTTCCTCTCAAGTTAAAATTGTCAACAGTTACCTCTTTGTGTCAAAATAATTACTATTTATTTTATGTTAGTAATAAAGATTAAAAAATAATGATAATTTACTTATGTCTGTGTTTGACGCACATTCTAAATGTTTCAAGTCCAAATTTAGCAACAATTGAAATAATTACTGTTTATTTTATGCTAGCAATAAAATTTATAAAAAAATTATTAATTTTCAGATTTCTCATACCAAAAACGTCGAATCAAAGCTTACCAAAAATAAAAAAATAAAAAATGGAGAGACACATTTATTCTAAAACAATAGTTCATATTATTATTCAGATTTTTTATACCAAAAAATTCGAGACACTCTTTATCATGCTAAAAAAAGTGAGCAGTGCATTTCACACAAAAAATTATTTGAAATGTCGTAACAAAAAATGAATTAAATCGACACCAACTGATTATACAAATAAAAAATTGACCAGAGTATTTTTCATTAAAAAACATTGAGACACGAACATTATATCAAAATATTCATTCATATTTGGAGTGCTTATACTTTGTACGGACTCTCGGTTTGGAATCCAGACCTGGCATTTGAATGTCTATAGGTGAACCCCGGGAAGAAGCTCTAATAATCCTCCAAGGCTCGATTTTGTCGGAGTTACGATAATTTCAAACACAAAATTGAAATAAAAATTGAGACCCACGCTAAGAAATGAATATATTGGTCTGTGTATTTTAGGAACAATACATTGACTAATTTCCTACAAAAAAAAAAAATCAAGTCCTCAACTAAACCAAATAAATTTGCCCACTTTATGCTATATATTGATTAATTTATTTTGTATAGAAACGACCATCAAATACCAAAAATAAATTCGATCGCTTTATGTCATATGTTGATTGATTTATTTTCCATGGAAAAAGCCATCAAATACCAAAAATAAATTCGCCACTTTGTACCATATATTGAATAATTTATTTGTCACAGAAAAAGTCATCAGATACCAAAAATAAATCCACCCATTTTATACCATATATTGATTGATTTATTTTCAGATATAGTAAATAGAATTTTTTTTTTGCTGAAAATAGTTACTATTTCAGAAATAATCAAATCTTTATACATACATATATATATTGATTAATCAAACAAATACTAATTAAGAATGAAAATATAACTTGGATGAAAAACTACACATTTTTTTTATTAAGCACATAAAATTCATATAATGGATAGCATATTATGCAACGTATTGTAAAACATTATTAAATAAAACATCGGACCAAATTACTAAACACATAATTGTATCATAAAATTTGCCCAATAATAAAAATAATGTTGCCCATTTTTTATTGCAAGAAACAACAAATTTTAGCCCATTTACATTAATGAACTGACCTATTTTTTTTTCACTAAAATTGGCCCATTAAAATCAACTCAAATAAATAAAAATTTTGGCCGAATAAACCAAAAATATCCAGCCCAAATCAACTCCAATGCCTCAATTATGTAAGCCCTATTTTGTTTTAATTCACCTGATCGAATGATCAGCAACTAAAAACATCAAAGTAATCCAAACAAATAAGTAAATCCTGTATATAAGGCACGTGATTTGAAGTGAATTTTCTATGAAAAATCTATACCATAAATAAGTCATTCAAATCTGTGCCATACGGATTTAAACACGTGAATATCAAAAGTTATTCAAAATTTGAATTTAAATCGGATTTATAAAATAAGTAAGTCAAATACTTTGACTCATTTTTTTTTAACTTTCCACAAATGATTTTTCTGTCAATCTCTTTCAATTTATATAATTACATTAAACTACAACAATATTCCTCATAATTGACCCTCATTTTTGTTGCACTAAGATCTCATATAATGGGAATGGGGTGTTTGGTGCATTTGGGATTATTTTTGGGTGTTACTATTCACCGCCCCCCATATTACTAGTCACCGCCCCCCTTGGACAATTTTGGCCTTCTCATTTTTTCTAAACATCTCAGAGGAAAGTGTACGGTGAAATGTCGTCAAATTCGGAGGTACGAAAAAATACGTGTCCTGCCGCCGGTTCCGGACAGCTTATAGCCCGTCCGGAACCGGCGTCCGGACGGCTTAAAGACTGTCCGGAACCGGCGGCCGGACGTCTTGAAGACCGTCCGGAAAGCATGGCCGGTCGGACCGGCCGTGTCCGAACCGGCCGGCCGGACGGCAAGAAAGCCGGCCGGAAACGACGGCCGGTCGGAACCGGCTCCGTCCGGTTCAGCCGGCCGGTCGGCAGTTTTTTTTTTAAAAAAAAAAATAAATTTATTATGTTATTTATTCGAAATAATTATGTTATAAATTGGACTATATTATTATGTTATAAATTATTATGTTACATTTTAGACTTGATTATGATATAAATTGGACGTTTATCGTGTTAGGAGTTACAAATTATTATGTTACATGTTGATTATAATATAAATTGGACGTTTAGAT